AACTCTGAATACCAAGTTTGATCATCTCAGCAAGATCTACAATTGTTACATAGCTCATTTTCCCATTTGAGAAAGTTTTATCAAACACTAGTTATAAATTCTTGAATCTCATATAGACTTTCTGAAACTATGTCACACACTTGTGAAATTTGAACTATATTTTGTTCAAACTTTCTCCAATGAAAAAATGGCCTATATAAGGATTGTATATCTTGATGAGATGAACAAATTTGGTATTCAAAACTTTTCAATTTGAGACAATCTAGGCTTCCGAAAACTAGTTTGTAAACGTTGAAATTTAAAAATCACAAATTTGAACCATCCAAACTATCTCAAATGGAAAGTTGACCAAAACAAAAATTGTAGATCTTGATGAGTTGAACAAACTTGGTATTCAAAACTTTTCAATTTGAAGTCATTTAGAGTTCATAATAATAGAGTCAAAGTGTTGTTTTTTCATTTGACCAAATTTGACTTGGTCAAACTTGCTCAAATGAGACACTAAATGACCTCAGATGAAAAAAATCTGCATACCAAGTTTGATCATCTCAGCAAGATATATAATTGTTACATAGCTCATTTTCCCATTTGAGAAAGTTTTATCAAACACTAGTCACAAATTCTTGAATCTCATATAGACTTTCTGAAACTATGTCACACACTTGTGAAATTTGAACTACATTTTATTCAAACTTTCTCAAATGAAAAAATAGCCTATATAAGGATTGTAGATCTTGATGAGCTGAACAAACTTGGTATTCAAAACTTTTCAATTTGAGACAATCTAGGGTTCCGAAAACTAGTTTGTAAGCATCGAAATTTAAAAATCACAAATTTGAACCGTCCAAACTATCTCAAATGGAAAGTTGACCAAAACAAGAATTGTAGATCTTGATGAGTTGAACAAACTTGGTATTCAAAACTTTTCAATTTGAAGTCATTTAGAGTTCATAATACTAGAGTCAAAGTGTTGTTTTTTTATTTGACCAAATTTGACTTGGTCAAAGTTGCTTAAATGAGACACTAAATGACCTCAGATGAAAAAACTCTGAATACCAAGTTTGATCATCTCAGCAAGATATACAATTATTACATAGCTCATTTTTCCATTTGAGAAAGTTTTATCAAACACTAGTCACAAATTCTTAAATCTCATACAGACTTTCTAAAACTATGTCACACACTTGTGAAATTTGAACTACATTTTGTTCAAACTTTCTCAAAATGAAAAAATGGCCTATATAAGGATTGTAGATCTTGAATCCATGACCATGACTCCATGAGACCCATGAAGCAATGTGCTTGGCTATTTCTACTCATGCCGCGAAGATTGGTGCTTATATGATGTTTGATGTATCTGTATCTTTATCTTATTTGTTGCTTTACTCTTTAGTCTTTCGGTTTAATCTAGATGGATTATGGACTCATAGAGTGGTGTAATGGTTTGCGCACGTATGATATATATATATATATATATATATATATATATATATATATATATATATATATATATATATATATATATATATATATATATATATGCCGCTTTTACTCAATATCCGAATAGATATTTGTATCCGACCTTCCGAATCCGATTCATACCGTATTCGATACTCATTATTCAGATTATCAGAATCGAAGTCAATCCCAGATTCATTATATATGTATCCGAACGTTATCCGTGTCCGAATCCGAATCCGAACAGAAATATGAAAACAAATATAATATAAGTGATATCTGTTCGTATGCGATCCGTTTTCATCCCTACCCACGCCTGGTTCTCGTGGTGACCATTGCCCCTGGAGCGGATACGAGCGAGTGGACGAGCGGATAGGTGCGACTAGACACGGAGGATTTTTTATGACAAACTTCCGAGAGGGTAGTTGGACAGCGTCGTAGCCCACCAGATTGTTGGCGTCCGCTTGCCAGCATTACCTATTGGAAATTTAGAGTGAATCCCGGCCCATTACACAGACGGGCCGACGATTCGGGCCACGCAGAAGAGAATCTTGCGGGATAACGACATCCACCTGGCCCGTCCAAATCGAGTATTGCGTGCAGTCTAGGACTAGTGCTCAACTGCTCATTCTCGACTTGCGTGGGCGGAAAAGGGGTGTTTACTTGAGTTAATGAGCTTGATCCGAAGGTGGGGATGAATGACAGCGCAGCTGTGAGATTAATTACTGTATGATGGCCGCAAAGCACACTCCTTGGATTGGATAGCTTCACGAGGCCGACAATCTTGAGCGCGCAGCAACTGCCCGTAGCACAGCGACTAGCGCCTACCGGTACAAAAGCAAGGAATAAAGCATGTCGATCGCAATGACGAACAGATTAGTTTATGAGTTTATTCATATGGTCCTTCATTCCTTTACGATCAGATTCAGATCCTATAAACACAAATAAATTTCATGGAAATGATACGTGCCAAACTCTTGTGAGCTCTTTCCTTATTTTTCTATTCTATGAAAAACTTCTTTTCATTTCCTCTCGTAAACTAGTTAACTTGAAATGATTGTTTGCATAAAGTGTCTGAATTTTTGCCATGCCAAAGCTGTCCTTGGAAAGGAAACTAAACGTGGATATAACATAACTGTATAAAACTCACAAACATAAACGTGAGTTTATGACAGTTTTTTTTTCAGCATACACCATCTATCCTGAAATATAAGGGATCTAGAGTTCAAATTTTATACGAAAATATAAGGTATTATAGGTGCTTAACTACCTCTCTCCTCTATTTTTTTGCAGGAAATATTAAACTTGGTCTCAACCAAAATAGACAACCTGTAAATAAGGAAATAACAATTGAACTACTCCCGCAGTCCTAATTAGTGAGGGGCAACGTGGTCTTTTGTTAGGTTTTTTATTTTATTTAAGAATTGCTTAAATACCTTATATTTCAAGATGGATGAGTAACATTTTGTACTCCTTTCGTTTTTACATGTCATATTAACTTTGTCCCAAGTCAAACATTACTATCTTTGATCATCCATTTAAAAAAATATATAGTTTCACAACATATGAATTATATATTATGAAAGCATTTCTTATAAATCTAAAAACATAAATCTTATACCATGAACCTATATATTTTTTTAAAAAATGATGATCAAATATACAAATGTTTCACTTACGACAAAACAAATACGACACGTACATAAAAAAAAGAGGGAATAGAAGATTTAATTAGGAAGAGTCTCATCCAACACGAATTTACCTTTAAAGACGTGTACCCTCATGTGTATTCACCATTGGATGGATATGGGCCATATGCCCTTAAGGCAAGAACAGCATTATGGTCTCTCATTCTACTACAATCCATGAGCATGGTCCGCCCGCGTTGGCTGAGTCCTATCCCATGACCTAGCGAGAGCAGCCACCATTGTTGTCATCGTCGCCCCCGCCTCCATCATCGCTGGTCCCCCTCTGGCATCTCACTGGAGGACGGAGGGAGTGTGAGGATCCATCGCTTTTAATAAGTTCCTAGTAGATCAAGTCCTTTAGGGTTAGGGTCTCTTCATACCAAGTTTCTTAGTATTAGGGATTTATCTCCTCCTTTCCAGTGATGGCGAGTGGGCAGGATGGATTCATTTTCTCCATGGCGGCTCTGTTGAAGATGATGGCGACAACTGCGGCGTCGGCAACTTCCTCGCATGACGACATGGAGACTTAGTTTTCCGAACACCGACATCAAGGCAAAGATGATGTCACCGCCATGGAATAACTTTCTACGGTCTCTTCTCCGTTTTGTTGTGGTTAGATCTGATCATGATGAAACACTAGGGAGAATAAGTTTCAGATCGGTCTTCTTTATTCTTTGGTGGCAGAAAAAGGAAGGAAGACACAAGAAAGAAGATGTTTCTCAACTCCGCGTGCACAAATGTTGGTCTTGGGCATGTGTTCTCTAGCATTTTATCGACTATTTGCCTGTGCAGTCATCCATACGAAGCGTCATATAGGTCTAGATTTGAGATTTGAGGCTATACAAAGCATGGGTACAATATAGATAAAGATCCGTTTCTGGATGTACATAGTATATTCCAGAGTACTTGTACCATTATGATGTACTCGGCTATGATATAATATAATTCTTCTCTCGTCTAAAAAAACATGAGCATGGTCCATGTGCTATCAAATGGAGTTTGCATATCTAAAAAAACTAGAGTTTGCATGCATGCAAATAGGATATTTTTTGGCGGATTATAGAAAAAACCCAAAAATAGCTTACTAGCATATTTGTGGGTCCTTAGACAGTCCCACTTGTATCCCTGGACCCTAGGTGTGTTAGCTAATTTAGTTGGAAACTCATTTTTAAATTGTACTAAATGATACCGTACATGCATGCTCAACTATGCAATAACGGGACTGACATGATTGTAGGATCTGTATGAACGGTTGTGTGCGCGGGTTATTTCTATATTCCATTTACGAGGAAGAAGAAGAAAAGATGACGTAGAGCCTATTCTTTCTACTTCTTCCGTTTTGTAATATAATGTATTTAAAAAATAAGACAACTTAAAAAAAAATACTCAAATGACACTTTTACTCATGGATTGAACCCCAACTAAAAAGTTTCTCGTCAGATTATAGCTTCATTTTCAATAAACTTTCCTAAATCTAAGTACCAACACAACATAGAATACCTTATATTTCTGTATTTTAAAAGTCATAATGTTCTATATTTTAGGACGGAAGGAGCATGAACATCTTAACTACATTGCAATCGAGTACCAAGCGAACGATTGAGATGAAAACAGCCCAATATGTACACAGCAAATTATACAGATCATCTTTTTGCAATGTGCTCACTATTGCACCAATATTCTTTGAACAAAGCACAGGGGAAAGGAACACACTTATTACATACACTCTACAATAATACAGTCACGCATGCTTCCCCGTTTGGTGCTTTAGGATAGATGGCTGGTTAATTACACATTTACACGCATGCATGGCAGCCAAATCACAAAGCCACGCACTTCGACCAACTTGCTCGCTCAACCCAGCTGCTTGCAAGAGAAGAGGGCCGAGCAAACCTCGTGGAAGGCCTGGAGGATGGCGGCGCGGTGCTCGCGCGCGTTCACCGAGACGTAGCAGTTGAGCAGCGCCCGCAGCTCCGCGGGCTCGGTCATCCGCTTCGCCGCGATCACCTCCGCGATGGACCGCCGGAACTCCTCCCGCGGGTCGTGCGTCCTCCGGTCCTCCGCGAGCAGCACGACGCACGTCGTCCGCCTGGTGGCCGCCGCCTGCTCCCGGACGCCCTTCTCGTAGCAGGCGCCGCCGCGGGCCCACGCCCGCGGGAGGCCGCGGCGATGCCGCTCGGCGAGCTCATCCGTGCGGCGCGCCACCGGCGGCGGCCGACCGCCGGCCTCTGCGGAGTCGATCATGGACTGCAGCCGTGCCTGGACCATCCCGTGCGCGAGCCTGGACAGGCCGCGCGGCTGCGTCGTCGTCGTCGGCGGCGGCGGCAGGGGAAGCGGCTCCGGCGCCGCGTCGGTGGACGAGCACGACGCCGCCGAGGACACGCTGAGCCGGGACGCGCCGCAGCATAGCGCGCGGCACTTGCCACCCCCCTTGCTGTGCCGCGTCGTCCCCGACACGGCGTGGCACTTGCCGCCTCCGCCGATCTTGTGCTCCTGCTTGCTCCGGCCAGAGAAAAGCTGCATGGCTGATCTCGCGCCACCCCTGATGCAGCTGCGGCACGCGAGTGGGGGAGAGGGCAGTGGCAGCAAGCAACTGGCAAGTTGATGCAGAGCAGCTCGCGCGGGGTGCACTAGAAGAGGACAGTGCGCCATTGTAAAGCGATCAAAGGCGGGTGGGCGCCGCCTTTTTGGTTCTCTGATTGAGCAAATTTTCAAGTCATGGGAAAGAGATGGTAGGATGGCTAATTGGCTATACCTATACGTAGCTGGCTTTAGGATGTAGCCGGATCATGCTGTCCCCTTGCTAGCAGCAACTTGGGGCATCTCCAGTATGCTGCCATCGCCTTTGATGCCCAATTCTCAATTCGGATTAGCTAGCTTGTCAAGTTAAAAACGTGATTGGCTGCATATTAAAAATCCCAGGCGTCAATCATGCTTCGTAGTCGTCATTGCTTAGTTTAGTGCCAACACATCATAATTACAGCGACACGCGGTTGGGTTCTTTTAATCGGATGAATTCAGAGCTCAGCTTTTCGGTGAAGAGAGGATTTAGTGCTGGATCCATCCAACCTACAACCAGCTGTTTACAGGACTGGATAATCTGTTATTAGGCTCTTAGCAGCTCTAATGCCAACCAGAAAAATGCTTAACCCTGCTTCAGAATTCAGGTTTCCTCAAAACAGCATGGGGCAGTTGGCAGGAAATCTTTCAAATCTGCCCAACTATTTTCTGGTGTTGCTGACAATGTGTAGCTAGTTCGCTCAACTCTGCAACACTAGTTTCCTTCAAAAAAAAAAACTCTGCAACACTAGCAAAGTGTCCATGAGAAAAATAAGGTTCACCAAATCAATCCCAAAAGGGAGACAAAGAAGCCTAAAGAATCAAAAAGCAAGGACAGGATTCCAGCTGGTGTAGTGGCCGTCATGTGGCTATCATCAAGCTTAACCATGGTCAACAGCTTTAGCAAGCTCTCGTCTCCCCTTTTCTTATCGTGTTATTAGCACTTCTTTTCCTGTTTCCTTTTTTGGCAAGCTGGTTGGTTGTGTGTCGCCAACCATGCCAAATCAAAATGTACTGCCTTTGCGCCCAAATATTAAAATGTACATTTCTTGCGCCCAGATATTTTTCCTAAAAAGATAAGCTATGGCACACGATTAATATGTCTCTTAAATTTTGTATTATTTTCTTGATCATGTGATAGATCTCAAATAGAAAAACTTCAAAACAAAAAACTTGTAGATCTCATCGATGGCTACAATTTTAGTTAAAAAGTATCTTCATTTGACACCTTTGAAGAAAAAATATAATTTTCAAGGGGCAACAAGCTCGGGAGCACGATTAATATGCCACTGAAATTTTATATTATTTTCTCGAGCATCTTAACTATCTCAAATGTAAAATATCAAAACTACAAAATTCTAGATCTCTTTGACACCATACAAAAAATATACTCCCTCCATTCTAAATTATTTCTAGATATATTGCTTTTAGTATGTATCTAGACATAATGTATATCTATATGCATAGTAAAAGCTACGTATCTAGAAAGGAAAAAAATGTCTTATAATTTGGGACGTATTGAGTATTATTTTTCTAATGCGACGAGCGCTAGTACGCAGTTATTATGCTGCTGAATTTTTTTTAAACATCTCACATCCTCAAATGAAGAAGCTTAAAACTAGAAAGTTATACATCTCGTCGAGAGCTGTAATTTTTATATAAAAATTATCATCATCCGACATTATATCGAAGAATTATGATTTTTCTAAAGTAAGTCTTGTCACGCCACTCCCAATGATGGCGCGACAAAACAATACTGTCACACCAACGGGAGTGGCGTGATAGTTTTCCACGTAGAAAACGCTGATGGCCATGGCGGATCTTGCCCACGCCAACGCATATAGCGCGACAGCGTTATTTGGTCACACTAGCCGGACTGATGCGACCAAAAAGGTTAGATCCATAAAAGTTTTTTAGGCACAGTTATTATTATTAAAATATATAATAAAAAGGATTTAAAATATTAAAAAACCCTCTATTTCATGTGTTTAGTAGCTGAGTGAGGGGGGAGTTGTAACTAGGTTTGAGTCCGCCTCCTTTTATTTTAAGTGCATGTTTCGCGTAGGTTTTTCTAAGTGCGACAATGCACAAACTCAAGCTATGTTTAGACGCACCTAGTTAGAGCATCTCCAAGAGTTCCCTAAATATTCCTCCTAAAAAAGTCTATGTTTACCCACTCTTAAAAAGGTTTTAGGAGGAAAAAAAGAAGTTCATCTCCGATAGTTTATAATATTTGACTTCTAAAAAATCAAATGCTGGTCCCATTTGACTTTTTTCTGCAGTCTTCTTTTTTTCCACGCGAACCTCTTCGTCGCCGCGCGTATCCACGCCGCCGCCGCCTGCTGCTGCTCTTCTTCCCTTCGCTCCTACTCTTCCGCTGCGGCACGCCGCCGCCGCCTCCTCCCAGTCCCAGGTGTGCATTTTGATTTGATGGACTTGGATGAGGATTCTGGTTTCCAACAGTATGTTGCTGTGAAGCTTGATTGGCACGTTCTACTTGGTCGATTTATGGCGTGGTGAACAAGTGTTACCACACGGCAACGGGCATGTATAGGCCCTGTATGTATGTGTTGGTACCGTACGTCCGCAAAGGAGGCTGGCCGGCCGACCACACTTTGTAGTATGTATGTATGTATTGTCGTATTTCATTCTGAGTTGCTAGGACTAGGAGCGGTAGCTAAGCCATGGCGCTCAACTACATGGGCGTCGCCGCCATCAACGTCGTGGCCGCGCTACTGTCCATCCCCGTGATCGCCGCCGGCATCTGGCTGTCGACGCAGGCCGACAACGCCTGCGTCCAGATCCTCCAGTGGCCAGTGATTGCCCTCGGCGCGGCTGTCCTCGCGGTCGGCCTCGCGGGCTTCGTGGCCGCCTTCTGGCGCCTGCCGTGGCTCCTCCTCGCCAACCTCGTGGCCACGTTTGTCGTCGTCGTGGCGCTGGCCTGCCTCGCCGGGAGTTCCTCGAGTACGACCTAGACGACTACTCGGGTTGGTTGCGCGCCCGCCTAGACGCGCCGGGACGCTGGGACCGGATCAAGGCCTGCCTGGCCACCACGCCCACCTGCACTGACTTCAACGGGACGTACGACACGGCGCAGGACCTGTTCACGCCGGCCCCGAACAGGATGACCCCTCTGCAGTCGGGGTGCTGCAAGCCTCCGACGAGCTGCAGCTACACCTTGGTGACCCCAACGTACTGGATCAGCCTCATCAGCGCCACCGCCGACCCCGACTGCGCCGCCTGGAGCAACGAGGACGCCAAGTTCTGCTACTCGTGCGCCTCCTGCAAGGCCGGCCTGTTGCAGAACCTCCGCAGGGAGTGGCGCCACGCCGACCTCATCCTCGCCGTCGCCGCTGTCCTCCTCCTCGTTGTCTACGCCATGGGCCGTGGAGGAACGCCATGGCCATGGACGACCCCGCCGTCGCGCCGTGCCTCTCCGACCAGCTCCGCGTCGTCTACGACCCCGCCGCCCATGACTTCCGCAACGTCGAACGGCGTCTCTGAGCGTGGCTTCGTCCACGTAAAGTTACGCGAAAATGGAAGGAATTTCCCAAGTCCTAAAAGATTAGGAGTAAATATTAGGAGTTGTTGGAGAGTGTTTTTTTCTCAATCTTTCTAAAAAACAAGGATTAGAAGGATGTTTAGGGAACTCTTGGTGATGCTCTTAATAGTTAGCTACTCAAGTGCTCGGGTGGATCTAAACAGGCCAAGCTAATTGTTAACTCACTAATACATAAACGATTTTTTTAGAAATGACTCTATTAAGAACCGACTCTAAAAATAGTTTAAATCAATTTTAGAGAGAAAAGCTAGAATGTCCAGCCACACGTAGAAATGCCCCCTATTTTTAGAGGCTACTGGAAAGTCCAACCGTCTCTAGAATGAAATTTCTAGAGGAGGCTATTTGTAGAGAGGGTTGGAAATTTCACCCGTCTCTAGAATAGATTTCTTAAGACGGTTGGCAATTTGGCTCGCCTCTAAAACTAGATGCAGCACAGTAAAATCTATAACCTTTTCAAATCAAGTCGGATGAAGAAAAACTATATCAAAGTCATAGTACACGAAGAGATCAGCAACTTTATAATTGACTACTTTTTCATTTAAAATCAATTAGAGCCAAAAAAATAGATAAAAAAAAATTCAAAGTTCATATTTTCCTAGAATTTTCCAATGGCCTTAGATGAAGAAACGACCTACACAAAAGTTGTAGTACTCCAAGAGGTATAGAACTTTTGAGTTTAAACCTTTTTTATTTAAATTCATTTAGGGTATCAAATATGCATTTTAATATTCAGTAAAGTGATACAAAAGGATTATATGAACCACTTAGTCATAAGTCTCTAAGGTATAGCGGTAGTAAGCAATCATCATGTTCGCTTGATCGTATCAGCCATGCTTATCAATCATGATACAGTGTTTTTCTCTCACAACAAAACAGTATCAACCGGCTTATAAACCACAGAAATAATCGAGCGAACGGGGTGAATGTACGAGGCTACTGGTCTTTAGTTTAATCCCCATGGCCGCACGCGCACGAAAATCACATGACTTGTGAAACACAGCTCAGGAGATTGGTTGATGTGCTTCTCCTGAGATTTATACTTTCTTTTTGCTATTTTCCCTCCGATTTGTAAATTCTATAAAATATAGTTTTAGAGATGGTTGAATACCTGTCTCTAAAAATCATTGAATTCTAAGACATATTTTCAAGGTGGGCCAAGCAGCTACCTAGACAAACCCATTCTAACCACCTTTAAAAAAAAGTTTTTCGTAAGTAGTGACTGAGCCCTTAGCTAACAACTACTGTATCTCCCTAGCTATCTCAACTCAGCTAATAAATTCTAAGAAGACAATTTTGTCATCCTATCTACCTGTATCCACGTACGCAACCAATAACAAATAAAAAATGAAGAGCATTACTGACAAACCGTGGATCCAGCTCGGTACTGTTTGGACTCGAGCTAGTAAATCCAAATAGTACCAAGCAAATGGATCCACATTACAAACGAACTGCTACCACCGTCTCAAAATAGTAAATCATTTCATAGAATCACAATAAATCAAACTATCTTAGGTTTAACCAACATTAAAAAAAAAGTAATAGCATCTATGACACCAAATAATTATATTATAAAAATAGTGACTTCACTCGGCTTCGTCTCGCCCTGGTGGACCCTGTACGGGTTCTGTAAGAGCATGTTTTACGAAGCTCTATATGTGGAGATGTTTTGTCAAACGGTTTACCAAAAACGGCTTCAGCTCCATCGATGAAGCTATTTATGGAGCTGAAATAAAAAATAATGGCTTCACTAGTGAGCTAGGCAGAATTGATCTCGGGCCTTGTTTAGATTGCAAGTTTTTTCACTCTCTCTTCATCACATCAAATCTTTAGACACATGCATAGAGTATTAAATGTAGATAAAAAAAATAACTAATTACACAGTTTGATTGTAAATTACGAGACGAATCTTTTGAGCCTAGTTAGGCCATGATTGGACAATAATTGTCAAATACAAACGAAAGTGCTACAGTGTCAAATACTGATTCCTAAACCTGAACAAGACCTCGCTGTCACTCTTCCAAATAGACAACCGAATTCCATTTTTGTAATTGACTGGCAAGTGACAATGCAGGGAGTAGGGACACAGGTGAACGTGGATGTAATTATCTCACTGCTCAATGCATACCTGCGTCATGTTTACACCAGGCAGAATGGCTTTGGACGCATTGCAAATTTCGGGACCAGCCGTGTGCTGACAGGTCTCTCTCGTATGAGTTTCGCGTGAATTGTGCACTGCATGCTATTGCTGCTGTACAATATGAACTCAGAACGGCACCGAACAGCATGGTACTCCACAGTTTGCGTGCAAAAACCATGAAACGGGTGGATGCATGGTTGAGCCGTTGAGGAAAGCTCCGAGTGCTAGCTGTGCTGCGGTGCTGCCCGACATTAATGGAAGTTAGATCATGGAAACATTAAGAAAAATATGTCATAGGCGTATGTTCAACGGATGCCAAACTGACAGCTACAAACATTTCCAAAAATTTGAGATTCCAGTCAGGTGCTCAGCTCGTCGATCGCAGCTAGCAACAGCCAGCAAGATGATTCATCATGGCTTACGAAATCTCTCGCCCTCCATAAATCATCCATCACAGGCATGCGCTAGCATTAGCAATACCTTCCCCCGAAACACCAGGGCGACCATCGAATTAAACGCGAGAGCCATTCGAGGATACGAGGAGGCAGCGGCAAGAAGGAACGCGAGGTCCAAGAAACTGCGGCTAGCGATGGCGGACACGCCGTCGCCGTCGCCGAAGGCGGCCGCCGCTGCGGAACCGGGGTCCACGTCGACGCCGCTGCTGCGGCGGCGGGGCTCGTACGCGCGGTCCATGTCGCACGCGCGCGACGAGCTCAGCAGCTTCCGCTCCGGCCTGCGGTGGATGTGCATCGACCACTCGGACGCCGGCGCCAGCCCCGCGGTCTCCTGGCTCGTCTTCGCCGCGCTCGGCGTGGCCGTACCGGCCGCCGCGCACGCGGCCACGCCGCGGCGCGCCTACGACACGCAGGTGCAGGTGTCGCTCACGCTCTCCGCCGCGCTCGCCTACGCCACCCTCTACTCCCTCGTCCGGCGCCGCGGCCTGCGCCGGCTGCTCTACCTGGACCGCCTCCGCCACGACTCCCAGGACGTCCGCGCCGGGTACATCGTCCAGCTCGCCGGGTCCTTCCGCCTCCTCGCCTGCTTCGTGCTCCCCTGCTTCCTGGCCGACGCCGCGTACAAGGTCTTCTGGTACTGCGCCAACGCCCCCTTCCCGCTCTGGTGGTCGGCCGCGGCGTGCGCGCTGGAGATGGCGTCGTGGATGTACCGCACCGCTATGTTCTTCATGGCGTGCGTGCTGTTCCGCACCATCTGCTACCTGCAGATCCTTCGCATGACGGGGTTCGCGCGGGACTTCGGCCAGTGCGCCGACGTCGCCGCCGTGCTGAGGCAGCACCGACGCATACGCGTCCAGCTGCAGCGGATCAGCCACCGCTACCGAAGGTTCATACTCTACTCCCTCATCCTCGTCACCGCCAGCCAGTTCACTGCGCTTCTCGCCGCCACCAGACCCCACGCGCAAGTCAACTTCGCCACCGCCGGCGAGCTCGCGGTGAGTACCATTGACGATGCTCCCCTGCATGCTCTGCTCAGAACGATGATCTTTCTTTTATCGTCACATGCTCATCCATGCGCCTGCTGCTGCAGCTCTGCTCCGTGAGCCTCGTCACGGGCCTGCTCGTCTGCCTCCACAGCGCGGCCAAGATCACGCACAAGACGCAGGCGATCACCAGCGTCGCCGCGGCGTGGCACGCCGACGCCACCATCAACAGCCTGGACCGTGACCAGGAGAACCCCAGGACGCCCAGCAAGGCGTGCCTGCAGCAGCACGCGCCCACGAGCCCCTTCCCGATGGCGAACGCGTCGTCCGGCGAAGAGTCCGACGACGACGAGTGGCGGAGCGAGGACAGCGTGGACACCTCAAGGTTCACGTCTTTCCACGCCACCAACGTCTCCTTCCAGAAGAGGCAGGCGCTAGGTAAGCATGCGCACGTGCACGTGCTCTGGCTGTGTTTGTGTTCAGTGTTGGTGACACGCTGTAGCTGATCATGGCGTTTTCGCAGTGACGTACTTGGAGAACAACCGGGCGGGGATCACGGTGTTCGGTTTCGTCGTCGACCGGACATGGCTGCACGCGCTGTTTATGATCGAGTTCTCGCTGGTAATGTGGCTGCTAGGGAAGACGATCGGCATATCTTGATTCTTGAGAAGGAGATGTATTTCCTTGTGATGAATGATACAATCAAGAATTTATCACTCTGCCCTTTACTGTAAACTCGAATTTATCACTCTGCCCTTTACTGTAAAGTTCCAAGTAGATTATGTCATTACGAATGTACAATGGTCCCCAAGAATATCGACTCGAGCAGTTACAAGCGTGACAAAACCTTGGCTTCTGACAATCTGCTTCGTGGTAGCAAACCCAGTAACAAAGAGTGCCGAGAACAAAAACAGTTTAACAACAAAGTAAAATGCCCACTGGGACAATTGGAAAATATATATATAATTACTGTTTAAAGATAACTGAGACTGATATTTACAGAGTGGTTTTGTTCTCTTCTCTAGCAAAATGATGCCGACTTGACCAGACTTCTTCCATAAAGATAACCTATTCCTAATTTTACTTTATGGAAAAGGAGAATGACAACCAGATGATCCATCACACACCCTTTGCTCCCCCTTCATCCTAATATGCACAAGGGCACATCAAAGGAAGGAACATGGTCCAACAAAACCAACAAAAAACTCAACCCATGTTTGCCAGATCTGCAGAAGAACAAACTAGAACAAATCCATATCATCAGCATCAGCTTCATAATAGTGTTACTGTTATCTGCCTCCTCAGTCCTCACATTAAGATAGTGCATAAAAAATAGAATTGATCCAATTTCCCAACTGTCATGTCCTGATATTAACTGTTGCGTGGCTGACTCAGAGATCTGTGGACAAAACCAACCCGCAGTGGCCTCCGAGGCAGTCCCCCAACGTATGTGAGACTGCGACTTGGTCTTTCCCCATTTCTCCTATAAGCTCTGTCTCTGTGGACAGGATCACTATCATAAGAACCTTCGTCATCACTATCTGAGAATGTGGAGTCACCGAAATCATCTAAAGAGTTGTCGCTGTAAGGATCGCTGATGTCGCTATCAGGATCAATGATGTAGTCCCCCATGATAACAGACCCTGGATTCAAAGCACTGACAATGCTAATTGCATCTTGCCTCTCCTTTTCATTTTCAAACTCCTCCCATTCAGCCAAGCGTGCAGGGTCAACTTCACGAGGCTTTGATGAACGATGCTTGGACTTCACATGCTTTTTGAGTCTCTTATACGTCCCGACAAATGAGCAATCCTCATGCATACAAGCTCTCCTTTTGCGGTTCAGAAATCGCCGCGCAGACTTGACCACTGTCCACCCTTTAACTTCCCCACGGCAGATAGGGCACGCAAGCAGCATTGTCTTTGGCTTCTGGTTACTTGGTTCCACTGCAGTTGAGATTTCGCATGCTGATTTCTCCCTCGAATAAGCATTTTTAAACAGCTCAAGACAATTGGAATGTTTATAATTGGTACCACACATGTATGGTCGACAACCCTTGTTATGAGACGAACAAAGGAGCAGGACAGCATCATGAGGGCGTTCCAAGCATATTGAGCATGTGGCATTTTCCCAGTCCTTTTCCTCTGACGTTGATCGCAATTCGTTTTTCCTGCCTGACCTTTTTGTTTTCTTGTAGTTCTTAGGTACAGCATGAGAGGCTGACCTAACATCATGAGCTGCCAGCTTACGCTTTCTTCGACTCCTTGCCATGTCTCCAGAACACTGGGAAAAAAGACCTGGAAGAATGGTATAAAAACTATATTACATTAAGCTAAGATCTTAAGGACAGAAATCTCATTGCATTCTCACAAAACATGTAAGGATTAATCCATACTTCTATGCAAATCACATCATAATACAAATGGAGCAATACTCTTTTGGATGTTTTATGATGTATCGTAGTCTTGTGGCTGTGTAACAAACATGAATCCAAACAAAAATGGTTTTTGCACGCTTGCATGTTTGTATGTGACCAAGGTGAAGGCTGACAAATTATTTTGCAAAATCTAGGTTTTGTTTCTCCACCATTGATTAGCTTAAGGATACCTTTGAGGCTTTGAAAGTTGAAATCATGTGATGTCGAAGATGATTCGGATTGTTTACCCTAGGATATTCCAAGCATAAGTTAACATTTACATAGCATGACGAAAATCAAGTGAAAACTTCAAGTGGTTTGATTTTATCTGCCGTAAGTTCTCCAACTCCATTTACTGAGTATTGCCATATTCAAACTTGTAAAATACTAACGATTCCAAATTTTGCACAGATGCCAGATAAGACTATGTTTGCCATTGAGATGACCTTTCAAAACCACTTCTTCCCTTAGTATTGAATGCACCAATTAGTTAAAGCAATTCTTTAGATGCTTACACGAAAATCTGCTGAAATTAGTGAATGCTCTTAGTATAGTACAGCAACTGCACAGGCCCTTAATAAGGACAGAAAGGAACCTGTGAAGTATTGGGGCTAAGCATCAGAATCCTAAATTTAAATGAGCAGAAATTAAAAACATGCATATCACCATAATTATGGGATCGCCGCAGTTTCAGTACAAGTTACATATAACTATATAAGCATCAAAAGCACAATACATTCAGTGGGCAAAACTAACAGACTGGATATTTTAGTAAAGCAAACAATATCAGACAGCCAAGCATGCTATATATGATTCAGCAAAAGTCAGCAAGAGCAGCTCTGGAAACTAATAACATTTTAGCATACATAACAACTGCACCAGACACTGAAAAATTCTCTGATTTCCAATTTGATATCACACAAAGTTAAAATATCTCACTTATAAATGCAACTCAGGATTGAATAACAAAATTCAACTCATCAACTCTAAATATGTGAGGCATAACCACATAAGGAGGATATTCTTTACAATGAGAACAACGCTGAGGTCAGGTCAATTTTGTGTGCATACATAAACACAAAAACCAACATGCAAGCAGCAAAGCTAGTGGAAGTGACTTAGTCTATCGTTAGTCACTTATGAGAATTTTGCTAGGCTCCTTGGCATGTATGATTTTAGTCGCATCCAACAAGGTAGAATGTGAATCAAACAATGTCAGAAGTATTTTCTATGTAATTCTATAGAGGAAGCTAAGAACACTAGCCAATGTAAATGTGAAGGACATGGCTTAGTCCAAATGCTGACATCACAAAATTTGGACTTCCGTTTAAGGGGAGTTTGCATCTAAATCTAATAGAACCCTACCAACCAAGCATTCTGCTGAGCTCTACATAATTCAGAGACGGCCATTTGTGTCTCTATAAGAAAATACAGAAACTTTGTGATGGACGTGTGACCATGGGGTATATATAAGATAGTGTACACAATGATATGGTAACACAGCCACAGCAAGGCGACATTTCTTCCATCACGTTTACATATACTGCAGTTCAAAAACAATAGCAAGCATCCAGCTGATCATGTATTCGGGTGCAGACTTAAGTCTTAACGCAAGGAATGGGGAGCACTGATTAGGTTACACCCCAGGTTTGGAAGACCAAGTGGACCAACACGGCAACACCTCAGGTCCAGTCGTATATATATCTCAACTGAGATCAATCTTGCTCCCCTAAATAAGGCACTAACTGGACCACATCAAAATGACCAACAAATAGATGGATTCAAGGGCGGATAAAGTATAGAACATGGGCGTACATATCTACAGCCGATAAAAAAAAATTTCATAAAAGGAAAATCGAAGTTACTGGGTATTATGCATATGAATGTAATGTAATTGGGCAGAACCAGATACAGATAGCTTACATTAGGGTTTGGGGTGCTCGCTTTTGCACAGCGGGAAGGGAAGGGAATGGCGTACCAGGTGCATACTCGTCGCCGGCGAAGGGCCCGGCGAAGAGGGCGGCACCGCTCGGCTAGCTGTCGCCGCCAGGAGAACAGCCACGACAGAGGGAGAGAGCAGAGAGGAGGTAACCGGCGGTGGCCGGTGGAGGCGAATGGGAGGATGTTCCCTATGGGAGAGATCTATATAGGCCCAGCAGAGAAGCAACGGGCCTACGGATGAAAACAGCCCAGCTCGTGGGAATGAATAAGCCCGCATTCTTTTTCTTTCTTCTATTTTTTCTTCTTGTTTTACTCTCTACTTTTAGGGTGTAGCTACTCTCATGTGCGTATCTCAATATTAAGGTGGATATGACCCGATTGAAGTATATATATACCTAGTATGTGATCATACTAGACTATTTGGAGCAATATGTATGTAAGTATATAGGATGAAAACAAATCAGAGCGGAGCGGATAATGCCTTTCTCATATCATAATCTACTTTTCTTTGTCGGAGTCGGATAGGATCAGAACTGGTACGGATATGGAGCAGAAATAGATCGGATACGAATTTAAATAGTCGAGTAATATGTGCATACTTAGAGAATCTTATACTTGTCAAAAATATATTTGTAAAGATTTAACAAGTACTAGGCAAAAATCATATATTGCATTCCATGTTGTGGCTATCACACAGACAGAATTAACATTTAACAAGTTATCCTCACTCATAAATGATAAGTTATTAGCCAATATGTAATTAACAACAAGCAAGATCTCAATTCAAAATTTATAACATCAAACAATGACATCACAAACTAAGAGTTCTCAACTAACAAAAACTTTTTTAAATCCCGAATTCCTCTAGGTTTTAGTCTAGAAAGAGAAATTGTCAGATATCCTATTCTAAACATCATATAATCCATTTAGAATTTGCGGGTGATCCACGTCCTCCAGATTTTGCCGATCTCATATCCTATTCTGCATCCGCACATAATCGGATTAGGATTATCCATATCCGCGTTGATATTAAAAGTTCTTCTCCGTATCCTTAAAAATAACAAAGTCGTCAACGAGAGTTTCCATCTCTATCTCATTTAAGTTTTCGCATTTAATTTGTGTATCTCTAAGTAAGCTTGCTAGGCTAGTTGATAGGATTGAAACCTAAATTGCATAACTCTTTTACGATAGAGATAGCAACATACCTAACAAAACCTTAATTGCACATCTACATAATTGTTTTATTGCATATGTTTTGACTAGGTGAAATTAGAGGCCATTGTTTTAGAAGCACATTTTTAGAAAGCCTAATTCACCCTCCCCTTATTAGGCGTCACAGCCCCTGCAAATAAGATTGTCCTTAACTTTTGGCGAGCCTGACAACTTCCGCAAGGAACCACCCACCTTCGAGTTGGTGGACTTCCTAGTAGGCACGTACCATGCCTTGCTATGGTGACCATGTTATGTGAGTTCATGATGGTTCTCAGCTATACCTACCTCAAGCTCAAGATGCCTAGCCTAAATAGGGTTACAACCATCGGCACCAGCTTCTAATGGGTTTACCTCTGTGAGCAGGAATATGTGGCACTTGTAGGCATGATCACTGGCTCCGCCGGCCACGCAGACATCTATCAGGAAGGAGGCGGCAAGGTCCCTTATGTGAAGATAACCAAGACGATTGCCCTGCCCCAGCGGGTTTCCACTAATCGTCAGCCCGATCATGGGCAACATTCGCCTAACCGAGGTGCTCATGGACGATGGGAGTGGCCTTAACATCCTCTACACCAAGACTCTCGATCAAATGAAGATCCTAAGAAGCAAGCCAGAGCAAGGCACCGTTTTATGGGGTCGTCCCGTGCAAGCAAGCGGTGCCTCTCGGACAGATCCGATTGCCCGTAACTTTTAGTGAGCCTAACAACTTCCACAAGGAATCATTCACCTTCTAGGTGGTGGACTTCCTGAGCACGTACCACGCCTTGCTCGGACAAGTATGTTACGCGGAGTTCATGGTGGTCCCCAACTATACCTACCTCAAGCTTAAGATGCCTGGCCCGAACGGGGTTACAACCGTCGGCACTGACTTTTAGTGGGTTTACCTCTGTGAGAAGGAGTGTGTGGCACTTGCGGTTGTGATCACTAGTTCTACCAACCATGTAGATGTCGATAGGGAAGGAGGTTGCAAGGTCCCATACATGAAGAGAACTAAGACAGTCGCCCTGCCTCAGTAGATTCTCCCGCTTGTCGTCAGCCTGATCGTTGGCAATGCGCGCCTCACCAAGGTGCTCATGGAGTGTCGTGGCATGATGTCCTACTGTCAAGTGCATTTGGTCCTCTGTGCGGGCATGATGCCACAATGCGATGTGTGTCTCTAGGCTTTTTGTGCAGGTGTGGCTACTAGCATGCATGCCTGCACTTAGGAATGGTCCTTGGAGGGTCATCTCGATGTTGTTGGATGGGATTAGGAGGTCTAGTGAGAGCGGGGGTCGTTGAGAGGAGGGCGGGAGGGGAGGTAACAACAATGTATTTCCTCTATTGCCTGAGGAGTGGCCACGAAGCGTCAAAGCAACGTATGTGTGGTGTGATGTGTTGTTCCACAAGGGATAAGGTTAGGGAGCAACCGAGTGTGTGTGTGGAGGGGGGCTTGAGATTCTAGGGTTTTCATTGGGCCAGGTTTGTTTTGAATGATTTAGATCTAGAGGTATTGCTAAAATTCTGAGTACCTGATAGGTATCCAATATGATTTTTCTCGCTTGTACCCTATTTGCATAGACTTGTGGGTGAGTTTTATCACATGTATGCACACGCATCGGGTAACCTATAGGTCGGACTGTCAAGGTACTGAACCCAAAATATACAAAGTTTTTTATTCTTATGCCACATAAGACACAATCTAATAAACTTTCTTCTAAAAGAA